TGTATATATATATATATATATACATATATATATATACATGTAAAATAAAATCTGTCTTAGTCTCCACCTGTGTAGAATGGCCACCTGTCAATAAAGACCACTTGATTTTTGATATTTCCTTTTGGTTACCGACAAGAAGCAACGAACGACAAACATCTGTGGCATGACCAGAATTTTGCACTGATGTTCTGCATGTTTTGTTGTTGTTTACTTGTACGTCTGTACTATTGTATTAACTGGTATAATATTGGGTACTGTATTAATAAGAATCACACCAGCTCTTTTCCACTATTAACATCGGTTGATTAAGTTATTATGAATGTGTTAAAGGTAAATGTGTCAAGAACTCATGAGTTGCTTTTGAGTGAAAACCGACAGATATTTAGCCTTTTTAGGCAATTCGTGTAGAAGATAAGTGAAGCCATAATGCTTCATTTTATGAACGATTTGCCATGTGAGCAGTTCTAACACCATTTCATTTTTAACTTTGCATATTGCTCGGCTAGCAGCCTTCTCTCACGTGACGTTACGACTGTGTTGCAGGATTGGTGTTTTGACGATGGCAGCCCACCTCCTGACAAAGTTGTGGAGGATTGGATCCAGCTGCTAAAGTCACGCTTTAAGGAGGAGCCGGGCTGCTGTGTGGCAGTGCACTGTGTGGCCGGTCTCGGAAGGTATGCGTACAGCATGCGCATGTGGATGTACTGCCTCTGTGTCCACTTTAGTTATGTCTCTCTCCTCTCTCCTCTCTCATCTCTCTCCTCTCTCATCTTTCTCCTATCTCCCCCCGCTCTCTCTCTCTCTCTCTTTCTTACTCTCTCCTCTCTCCTCCTCTCTCTCCTCTCTCCCTCTCTTTCTGGCAAGCCAGCGGTCTCTTCAAGGCAAACTTCAGGAATAGGAAGATTGAAATTGAATTAACTGCCCATTTGCCACCACGATTACTACGCGTTGATGTGAGTGAACGGGATCCTGAGCAGCCGCTTATCGTCTTTATGCGAGGAGAAAGTTGTGATGCCCAGTGGTCCTCAGAATAAACAAACCCAGAAAATATGAGATGACATAGAGAGTATGAAGAATGTAAGTTTAAAAAGAAATGATACTGTCAATCTAAAATAGATCTATAATGTCAATAGTATGATCTAAAATCGAAAGAACATATCCATGGATAGAAAACTGAAAGAGTAGAATGGGAAAATTGTTCTCTCACATTTACCATACTTTGAAGGAAAACAACACAATCTAAAATTGCTTCCACAGATGGAAAACATGAACAGTAAAATAGAAAAACCTATATTTATTGCGTTGTGCTTTGGAGAAAAACAAAACAAAACAAAAATAGAAACAATATGGAGGTGAGCACAATGCATACTGTAGCCTGTTGGCAGCTTTTCGGGTGCAAACTTTGAAATTATAATTTCTGACCAAACTGGCGTTAGGTCTATTTCTATATTTAGTTTTGAAGGGCATCAGTTGCACCCGTGGAAGCCAATGAAGAATGCACTGAACATCAGAGACGTCTTAGTACAGTGCATGATGTGGCAAGAAACATCTAGTTCATAAAAATTGTCGCTCTTAAAATTTCGGTGTCTTTGTGGCTGTGCTCAACAAGGTTAGTCATAATACTTTTGATCACAGTAGCATTTTTTCCTGTTTCTTTTTCAGGGCTCCGGTGTTGGTGGCCCTGGCACTTATTGAATCTGGAATGAAGTATGAAGATGCTGTGGAAATGATTAGACAGTAAGCCCCCCTTTGGTTTCATGGTTTTAAATTTCATTAAATTTTGGGTATTTGGTGTGTTCAGGAAAAGTAATATTAACATAACACCCACAATAATGAGGCTGGTGTTACTCAGTCTGCTGGATGATATATTAAATAATACGCAAAGATAAAGGCTTTTAATACATTGTGATCCTGATTACGAGCAAGAAATGTCCTTTTGGAATTATTTTCTTATTACTAGGGTTTGGGAAGATCAATTGATATATCAAGATACAAACCTTGACAATACACATATCGACACGTTTGACCATTCATGATACATGTGTTGTAACTTTTCTGACAAAAATCCATATCATTTAATAGTTTCAGCGAAAAACAGAAGAAACTTAACACATTTCGCAAATTCCATAGCAGTTGTTTACTAAACACTCCACAATACTGATTTGTAAGCATTTCCATGATTATTAGAATTGCAGTTGAGTGTATAGTGTGCTAGGTAGTTTCTCTTGAAAGTATCACAATACGTATCGAAAGAAATAGGTCTTTTTAGTTTAGCATCACAGCAGTTGTACATAAATTCTTTTATTCTTCACTTATCGTAATGTATTTAACGATCGTTTCTTATTTGGTGCATTCTGATTATTGTTTTATATTATGTTGTGATGATACACGAAAGGAAACAAGCAACCAATAAGCTTATCTGTGTGTATACATCTTTCCAGAAAGCGCCGGGGTGCTATAAATGCAAAGCAGCTCACCTATCTGGAGAAATACCGTCCCAAATCCCGCCTTAAGGTCAAGAATGGCAAGGAAGACAAGTGTGTGTTGCAATGAAGTCAGTATTTAAGCATCACATTGCATGTACAGTGCCAAGCGTGTTTGCTTTTGTGTGTGAATGTTTGGAGGACGTCAGACGTGCACAGATTTTTGGCAGACTTGTGGCATGCACACATGTATGCAGCAGATAGAGCACTGTAAACGTGCTCTCATGTGCCTGCAGTTGGCCAGTCGGGTGGTCATTCATTCAGGTTGCTAGTCGCCTGGTCAGTCAGAGTATGATAAGGTAGTCTGTCAAATGCGTGTATCATCACCACTGTTTGTCTTTGGGTGGATATCCTGAATACAGTTCAGTTCCACATCCGTACAGAGATGACGTGGTGCAATTTTCGTACTTGAAGTTTAACTCGGAGAGTTCTGCATGTGCGGGTTTATGAATCTGAATTACGATTGACATTTGTAAAATTACAGTAGTCAATGACTGCATAGCAGTTTTTTGGAAATCTTAGGTGTCTTGTCTCAAATGGCAGAACTGGAAGTAGCTGTAGATAATTTTGTAATGAAAGGGCAAAAAATTATGCCCTTTATATTTATAACAGTCCTTGATTTTAATGTATTTTTCAAGATGTAAAATCAATTTGAGAGCTAGGAAAGTTTATTTTTAGGAAATGCCAATATAATGGTTTTTAAATGCTTGACTGTTATGTGGTGTCTGGCCTCTTTGCTGTCATCGAGTAAAAGACGAACCAAAGAATGAAGATCGATAAAGTATTTTGCTTGTTTGAAGCTTTAACAATGGCTGTACTCCCAAATGACGAAATGTCACTGCCTTGAGGTGCTGCAGGCAGGGATAAAGGAAGGCTTATCACTCAGTGTGATAGTGCGGTTCTTATTACAGATTTAACACTGGAGATGAGCTTACGTTATTATTATTATTGTTGTTGTTATTATTATTATTATACCATAACTTTATTGTCGCATTACCTTACTACCGTATTTATCATGTTAGCAGGACATTGATAGAAAACGGCAAAAATTGGCAGCTTCAAGGATCCATGTACAGATCCAGACCACCGCATTCTTTATTGGCATGGGGGGGGGGTTGTCTATACAAGCTGAATGGTTTAGCCAACATTCGAATTCCTAAGTATGCATTGAAATTGGCAACACTGATACACGGGGTTTGTATTACAACTGTCCTGTGTTGTAAACACACAAGCTACTCCACGACAGTTGAATTCATTTGAAGACCAGAATTTACCAAAATACCATGCTCAGATATCTGTAGATTTTTTACAGGTATCTATGCAACTATTCTCCTTTTCCTCTGGCCCAGTCGTCTTGCCCAGCTTTTTTTCTTAATATGACTTCAGGAGTAGTAATGTTATTGTACGCCTGATATGATTTGTTAATTAGCAGCGTTGAAATTACATTAGCCAATAATGAGATAACCACGCTGAAAGGTTAGAAAGCAGCGCAGTGACTATCGCACTGTAGTACACCACTGTGGGGCCACTGGTTTCATACAACTCTAGCCAAAGTCCTAAGCATAATAGTGAAATTGATTGTTTTAAAAAGCATTTTATTAGTATACTTATCGCGTGAATATATAGGTATGGTTTTGAGGGATCTCTCCTGCAGGGTGAAAACAGGGTATGTGTCATGCAGGATTGTTTGCAGAGTATGCGTGTTTTGTAAGTCGAGGACGGATTGTTCGTGTAGGTACTTTGTAGCTTTTCCACCACCTGGTTAGATTTATGTGAGTGAAATTCAGGGAGGGAATTTCTTTGCGTCTTGCACATGTTGTAAATGTCATTTAATTACGCATGTGCGATGTACTCATCTGGTTGTAATGTCCTTGACAGATACTCTCTCTTCAAAATAGGGTACAATAATTAGTTGGTAAGGCCAACGAAAATAGAAAGGCCTATATAGGGTGTTGTAACGATATGCAATTCGTGTCAGAATAAACGTAGCTATATTTCGCTATGTATGTTCTTTTACGCGGGTGTAACTGAATTAAATCAATTCTCAATGTGCTGCTTTAGAGTAGAAATGGAACTTTGATGTGATTATAATAAGTTAATTGGAGAATAGGAAGTGCAGGCCCGATGGCGTGCATGTGAGTTCTAATGACAGAAGAAGCGCATGTGTAAGAACTAGGGCGACAACAGCTTGTGCGAGTTGAAATTCTCGTGAACTTCTCAAATCTACGCTAGTCTATGCGTTGATTGGTCACAGTGACGGGTGACCCGTTGAAGGCGCGTTTGCGTTTGTTTGAATATATTAGGACCTTGTGATCCAGATAAGCCGAGTTCGGTCCAAAAGAACAGGTCCTCTGCTACATATACGTGGTGACATAATTGCAACCATCGTCACCGTGCCCACTAAGTCGCTATACTGTGGCAATAACAGATTAATTAATAGGCAATTTACGAGATTGTTCTGCCATCTGTCGTGGGAGAGCTTTTCGCCACACGTAGAATGATGATTCCATCCCGCGAGCGCTTTGCGTGGCGCGCGTTAAGTCTCCGGTGTCATAACGTATGTAAATGAAATGTGAGGGTGTCTGTCCCTTTACCTGTATATCGCATGAAATGAATTTTAGGTGAAGCTAGGATCTGGAGGTCGTCCAGGTTTAATGCACAGACAAGTATCGTGCTGCCAGAATCGATTACCCTTACCAAAATCTATGACGTTGCCAAAAACAACGCTAACGTCACGTCGTAGTACGTGAGTCGCCGTAGTAAGACATTATAGCTTATTATTAGTTTACGTTGTTTTACCTGAGATTGTGAGGTTCGACGTCTTTCACAGTTACACGGGGGTTAGGTCGTTAATGAAGCTGTGCCTCTCGTTTGATTCTAACATGCATTTTCCGAGGCAGTGAAGGCGGTGCCTCTCGCTGTACACGCCAGCGGTCGGATACAGTTTGAAGGTTATATTGTCTCTGTTTGACTATATTAATAATTGTGTGAATGTCCTACTTGCATTTTTCGGTGACGTGCATGGTTACATGGCTAAATAGCTAAAGATTCGTACAATTCCTCAGTCATTTCAGTTCATCTTCAAACGAATCTCTGTCAGTTGTATCATGAACCTGTCTATACTCATACGTACACTCGCACGCGCGCATGAGTATAGGTCTGTTCATGTGTACAGTAAGTCAGATAAAGAAACGGGTACGGGCGTATGTTTTCAATTATAATTGATAATTATCAGCAATTTCTGAAAAGTGTGAAGGAAAGCAGGAAGGTTTCATATTCGTTGGTTGATCATTTCAAAGCGATCTGCATACTAACGACCATCGAAGAATTTGGCGAACCCTTCTGCAGCTGGTAGCGTGAGTGGATGTCTGTGTCACTAAGGAACCTTCACATAATGATTGTCGCAAACTAATGTCATTTGTGATAGCAATGCGGACCTGTTTTTTTCTCGCATGTGTGTTGGTTGCTGCGCATTTCCCAAAGTACGATTCTATTTATTCAAGCCATATTCATGGCCATCACTAAGATGTAATTTAGCTGAACAATAAGAAACACGGATGTTGTGCGCGCGTGCGTGCGTGTGTGTGTGCGTGCAAGCGCGTGTGTGTGCGTGCAAGTGCGGATGTGTACGCGCTTCTGTGTGTGCGCGTGTAAGTGCGTATGTGCACGCGCTTCTGTGTGTGTGCGTGTAAGTGCGTATGTGCACGCGCGTCTGTGTGTGTGCGTGTAAGTGCGTATGTGCACGCGTGTCTGTGTGTGTGCGTGTAAGTGCGTATGTACACGCGCGTCTGTGTGTGTGCGTGTAAGTGCGTATGTGCACGCGCGTCTGTGTGAGATTGGGTGCGTGGGTGTGTTCCGTATATGCTACTGCGCACGCTTATATTCTATAATGTGGACACGAGTGTGTCCCAACAGTAATATTTTTATATGTGTAGTTTGAGAGAGAGGCCCATAGGCACCGCCTCGGATCTACATTATTGGAAATGCTACTGATGGTGTGAGTTTTGCCAGATATCACTTTGAATGTTTTTATGATGTTTCTCATTAAACCCAGTAATGTATTTTTTAAAGAAAAAAAAAGATTTTCTATAATATATTCGCCGTATAAATATAGAATGCCAGCGTTTAGTCGCATATGTGAATCCATAGTTCCTTGGCCAAAGTGGCAAGTTAGCTGACCTAGACAATATATATACGGTGCTATATGTTTACGTTTGATGACACTGTTGGTGAAACATTTGTCTGGGCATTTTCAATTATTGTTTCGTTCTATTTACTTGGATATCTGCCAAAGATATTTCCGAGCAAATACGACACAGTAAACCACTATGGCACATTACAGTGCATCGCTGCACAGTATTCCCTGTAAATACAATCAATTCCAAATGTAGATAATAAAATAAAAATTGCAAATGATAAAATTTGCTGCTTATATTTTCTTCATGCTTGGTAAATCACGTCTGCAAGCTGATATTCTAGGAGTTGGAATGTTAAAACGGCCGTGTATGGCCATCTTACTCAGAAATAGTTATTTTTACCGCGGTAAAAATAATTCATCCGCGATTAAATTATGTTTATCAAGGCTTCTGATTGAGTAAAAGGGCTATAATTTAACCGAGGTAAAAATATTCATTTTTGAGTACGATGGCCAACCATAGACGTGTATGCATGGTCGCCAGTAATAAAAATACAGTCAACTGTATGCAAAGGTCACTTACGAAAAATGTCAACGTGACATTTATGGATAGGTAATCATTATGTAGAGGTGACTTCACTATATAACTCACACACAAGGGACGCGCCGAAGGTGACGTATATGGTTGGCCATCGTACTCAGAAATAATTATTGTCCTTTTACCCAATCAGTGGTCGTATTACACATAATTTAACCGCGGAGAAACTACTAGTATTTTTACCGCGGTTAAATTATGACCCTTTTACCCAATCAGTGGCCTTGTTACACATAATTTAACGGCGGAGAAACCAAAGAGAAACTACTAGTATTTTTACCGCGGTAGAAATAATTTAACCGCGGTAAAATTATTGCCCTTTTACCCAATCAGAGGCCTTGTTACACATAATTTAACCGCCGTTGAATTCTTTTTACCGCGGTTAAATTATGTGTAACAATTACGGCATTTGATTAGGTAAAAGGGCCATAATTTAACCGCGGTTGAATTATTTCTTGTGTATATTTATTTTATATTTATTATATTATTTCGTGCCTAATATGCGGTTTTGCTGGATTGTCATTACAAAAATACAGCAGATATAAATATCGCTAGGTCATACTTGTTAGCAGGTTTTTAACTTTTCAAACACAGAAAATCAGTACACTCAAAACGGACCGTGTTCCCGAACTCTTAACCGATGGAAAGTTGTTGAGATGCATGGGTGAAACATGTAAACCGATTCATTGACATGACGTGTGTGGGGGGGGGGCGTGTGCGTGTGCGTGTGCGTGTGCGTTTGTGTATGTGCGTGCGTGCGTGTGCATGTGTGTGCGCGCGTAAAAAATTCGTTTATTTGTGACACATGGTGACAACACTTGAGCTGTCCTGCAATTATGTAGATGAGGATATATACTTATCGCTGCCGCGCTGCGTGATTGACAGTATTTTGCTTTCGGGTACAGACTCGGCAAGGTGTTGCTAGTAGAGCTGAGAGGTTCTATGTCCCCCAGGGTACTGTCGGAACGTACCCTGGTACTATCTAATATGCCGGACCGTACCTCGCCTACTCCACTAACGTGTCTAGGGAGTCGCCTACGCCTACTCCCTAACCCTAACCCTAACCCTAACCATATCAAATAGTTACCAGGGTGCGTTCTGGTATACCGGACCGTACCCAGGGTACGTTCCGGCAGTACCCTGGGGGACATAGACCCTATGAGCGCTAGGCGATGTCACAGCCCCGAAAGAAAAGCCTACACAAGCGCCTTTGTGAGCGTATAGTAGCAAATCGCATGCAACGCAAACAGCTCTGCTGGCCACTAGATTTTAGAGCGCGGGATTACGAACAATACGCTCATGCCGGTGCCGAACCCGCGAATGTTACGAATACGTTCACTACAATTTCTGTTCATAGGCGGCGCAGCGACACCGTCTTTGTTCTGTTTAAAACCGAGCTGGACGCTGTGCGCGGAGTGATACATGATGTAATGCTAATCGATTCGGCAGGCATGGCCTAGTTTATATTGTGGTTACGGGTACAGCTTACTCGCTGTACGTACTCGTAGTACGTGTTTTCAAAGATTGAGCGATTACTGTTAGCTGTAGCGAAGGAGCCGCAGCGTGGAGCCCGCAGTATTCGCGCGTGCAGGTTAGCTGGCGATCTGTTGACTGAAATGTTGTTTGTGCTCCCGTTTAGTCGTTTCCCGCTCAGTCACACACACACGCACGCACGCACGCACGCACACACACACGCACGCACGCACACACACACA